TTTATGCATCGCTATAATTGTTTGTGCTGCTGGAAAATCGTTTTCATTGTTCGGAACGGAAAGTTCTCGTTAATGTGGGCGTTATCGGAATCATTACGCAGAAGGAAAAAGAAAACAAACACACCATCGGGTAAGGGGAAGGGAAGAAAAACTCCACATTTGATATGTAACGAAACGTGTGAGAAATTCCCAAAAATGCAGCGGGCTTTAGTCTTCATTTTTTATCAGAAGAAATATGGTAGACTCCGCCCCATTTTGGGGGGAAAAGAAAAGTTAAGTGAAAGAAACTTTGGCTGACGTTTGATAAATGACTGATTGATCGGGAAGCGCCAGTATGAAACTATGGAAAATCAGAGATTTCTTCGGGGGCAGACACCCAAAGCCATGTCAAATAAAATTATCGCCGGGACAAGTTAATGTCCTATAAAATATGAATACCAAAACTTGGAGCTAAATCAAAACACAAATTAACAATGAAAATTATTCAAAATGCTTCATGTTAGCTCCCTCCCCCCAAAGAAAAATAAACCCAAAATGATTTATGACAATGGGGCGGGCGTAAAAATAAAAGGGGGGAAAGCAACACGAAAAGAAAAACCGAAACATATAAAACGAGAACAGAAAACATTGAAAATCAACCCAAACGCAAAGCGAAGCAATTAAAAAAAAAATCCGTTGAACTTGCCGGCAGTCGTAAACCAAAAACCAAAACTGGAGAAGGAAAGTGGAAAATGGACAAGCCCCGATCCGAAAATCAAGGCCCCGAAGGCTTTGACAAGAGCAGAAAACAATTAAACCAAGATTTAATGGTTATCACACATAATTCTGTGAGTCTTGTATAAAATAAAGGATTATCTAAGAACCCCGAAAACACACAATTGAAAGAGATAGAAACCGCATACCAGACCACCCCTAACAAATCATTTATAAAACATAATTGCTCCAAGTCACTTGAGAATCAGTTCATAGATAAAAGAAAAATGTGGAAAATCTTAACAAAGATCCCCAAGCCACACAAAGACACCGCAGGCGATGCATTTTTTTAATGGGATAATATTTTGGAATAATGATTCGAGTCGCTTTTCAGCTTCAAAGCATCTATAACTACGTTTTTAACACTTGCCCAGCGATCCAGCGACCGCCTGTCGAGCCCAAAAACCTGCTCGAGTCAATAAATAAACATTTACGAGTATTTTCCTTACGCGCTGCGACTATAAATTAAATCAGGGAAAACCCAACGGTTCGAACGAAGCAATAACAAACAGAGAAATCCGAGACAGAGACTTTTCCCGTAGGCCATTTATTGCTCTCAATAATGAAGCCATTACTGCAGTCAATGCGTAAGTGCAAATGGCCATTAAAAACAATTTAAGGGGCGGTTCGCCCCATTTTCCCGGCGAAAGCATTTAGAAATATTGCAAATTACTGCAAATAATTGACAAACATTAAGTGCCGGGAGTGGAATGTCCTGACGAAAGCGAACAGCTGGGAAAAATTTACACAACACTCATGAGGAAAAATCAAATGCTCTTTGAAGATGGAAAAAATCCCAGACTGCGGCACAAAATTGATGTTATTGTGATGACAAATCAACCTCGGAGCCGGGAAAGCTTTCTATCTAATGAAACTGCAATTCACGAACGGCGACGCAGGACTTTTCCAGCTGCTCATGTCAGGGAGGGGGTTGCACTTGATTTATGTGCGAGGCTTCTTCCATCGAAAGTGCTTTCTCATCGATACAATGGGATGCTTTATTAAATGCTGCAACCGAATTCAATTTTCGCAACTGTTGCCAAAATATCAGCTTAGCTAAGTGGAAGGTCAATTGCACGAGGAGGGGGTGGAGAGGGAATTCCCTGTGCAGGGCGGAAAATTTGAACATTTGTTAAAGCGACTTATTAATGTTATAATCTAATTATAAATGGCAGCTCTGGCTCTGATTTTGGGATACACATAAAAAATAATTTGCTCGTGAGGGTGCAAAGTGCGGGTAATATTTCTATAGTTTCCTTTTTTTGAAGGATAAATATATCCAAATATGGGATTAATTGTAAGCTGGATATAGGTTTCGCATAAAAAAGGGATTTTAGTTTTTATTCGTTGATGATTTATTAGGGGTATACTATCAGGTATTAGCTGCAGCTGTTTTTATATTTACTGTTTTAAATAACATTGAAAAAGTATGTCTAACTTTTTATATAAACAATAAATATATTTTTAATTAGTTAACTTGACATTAAACATTTGAATATATATTTATCGTGAATATATTAGTTATAATATTTTATTGTTCCTTAAAATACTCTCAGTACTCATCTAGAATTTGTCTCATTTGAAAACAAATTTAATAACTATTATTCTCTTTTAAAACCAAAAACTTTTTGCCACTCACCAAAAACAGTTTCAATTAAGTCGAAACTTGAAACTGAAACTGATTTTGGTCAAGCCACAGAAACTCTAGGCGACAGGACTCCGCCAGGACTCGTCTATTGATGCCAGTTTCCTCCATCCTTCCGACGAGCTAATTAAGTAAACAAAAGGGGGGAAAACCTCTGAAGCCAAACCGGAGCAGCTCAATTAATAATAAAATGCGAAAATGGGAAAAACGAGAACGAGCCAAGCGCCAAGCACAGCTCGTAAACAAGCCACAAAAAAACTTGAACTCATAATTTCCGGAGGTGCTAATAAGTTGCAAAATTATTTTCAATGAAAATGCACGCCGGGACATTGGGGGAAAAAGGGCGGCGGGGTGGCAGTGAAAAACTTGCCGGGGCAGCCGCAAAGTATAAAAATTGACTTCAATTAAAGTGCCATAGTTGCCTGTATAAACAGCACACGGAAAAATGAAAAGCGCAAAACGGGAGTCGAAAGGATAATGATAATTACGGCCAGCCACGGTTTGAGGAAGCTGGAAAATCCTAGGGAGCAATGGAGGGGTCTTGGTGCTTTTCCGGCTGCTGAATGAGACTGCAAAGTTTTTGTGTTTATTTTATGCTCGTGCAAAAAAAAAAAAGAGACCGAAAAAGCGAAGCCAAGAGGATGAAAGTTTCAATGTAGTGCGGCTGATAAAGAGGAGAAAGCAGAACAGGGAGTGGAAAATCAGCAGGAAGGGGGTTTGGTGCTCTATGATAGTGGAAAATGCAACCCAGTGGGTGGGAAACATACGATTACGAGGACGTTAAACAAATAAGCAAAAGGCAATGTGTAAAAACAGCACAGAGAACACAGAGGCAAATGAAGAAGCCAAAAGTAGAACGCGCATCATGGACACACACACTCGTGTATGGACAAGGACTCATTCAGGACATACGATCAGGATCAGAAGAATAGGATTTTTTACATCGTATATAGCTATTTTAATTTAAATTACTAATAAGGCGGGGGATTTATTAGAATAAACATGGAATTGAAAACAATTATAATGAGCCTCTCTCTGCGCTTCTCAAGTTCTTAAGCTTAAGGACACATGTAGATAGATTTCACGGTTTTTTTGGAGACTCTAAATTATAGACATGGTTTTTTTACTTGTAATAATAACTCATTAATCTTTGTTGATAACATTCTGACCATGACTATGCCCACGCCTTCCGTCAATACAGAAATGAAAAGTCAAAACTTGGCTGGGCTTCTGTCGCTGCCACTGGCTGCCCTTTCTGATTCAGATTCAGATTCTGATTTTGCCTCTGTTTCTGCTTCTTTTGCTGTCCAAACTGAATGACTCGCCAGCGGGCCAAGTTCTTCTCCGCTTTCCTTCGCCCCGTGTGCAACCACCACCACTAGCACCACCACCACCCACTGGGGACTCAACTTGTTGAGGAGTGACGGATTCACTCACTCGCTCAGCGACTTTCCTACCCCCGGGTTCATCGTCAGTCCGTCAGTCACTCAAACTCGCATTTCATTCCATTTCCATTTCATTCACTTTGCCGCAATGCCCAAAACAGCAATGTCTTTTGCCTTTTGCTGCTCCCTTTTGTTTCAGTGTAGTTTCCGTTGGTTGTAGTAAATTTTTCTCATTTCGCTTTTTGTTGGAGTGGTTTTAATACCTTGGGCTCATTGAGGTAATGGGTATACTCGTTTTAGATAGAAATAAATTGAAATTTAATATTTATTAATTAAGGTGACCTTATCAAAATATTAATATAATAATATCTTTTGAACACTTGAAAATAAGCAATATTTGTTTTAGAAATTTAGATCTTAAGCTATGAGTTTTATACCAACACCAAGAAGACTAAAACTATGTCTTCAAAATTTACATTTCTTTTGAATATGATATATTCTGCCATATATTATATATTTTTATATTTATTCCTTCATTATATATATATTCATATGACTACATATTAAGATATTGGGATCTATAAAACCAAGAGCTATGAAATTCTAGAACAATATATAAGTATCAAATATCTTCAAATCGAAGTATTTGTTAAAATAAGAAAAGTGAAGTATTTCAAGGATTATACATAAAAGGATTAAGTAGTCCTTGTAGCCCCTTTAAAGTAGGCAACACTTTTTTATTTTAAGAGGTATCTCCTAGTCGCCTATTACATTATATCTTATTCCTACTTCTATTTGTGCTGTTGCTGTTTTGAGTGTTCCACTGTTCGCGAGCGTTCGTGTGTGTGTGTGTGTGTGGTTTGAGCAAAGGAAATAAAAAAAAAAACTCAACACACACACATACACACAGAGGCAGAGACACACAGATACTGGCAGGGGCAGAGAGAGAGGTCTAGAACTAGCGGTAAATGCATGAACAACACCGGCTTGCCTGCCTTGCCTGGCTGTCATGAAATTTGTATCTCAGAGATGGTTGCCTCCCCTTGCCGCTTTTCCAGCGCTCGCTCTCTTTCTCTTTGGCTCACCTCACCCTCGTCAGTGCCTATTCCGCCTCTGCCTCTGCCTCTGCCTCTTCATCGCTCTCCGTCTCGTGCTCATTTTCCGTTGTATCTTTTCGATGCACTCGCTCCGTGGATTTCATTCCCTCTGCGCACTTCGAACCGATCGCTCGCATCGCTCCCGGGACTCGAGAACTCGAACGCCGGACTTCGACTTCGCTTTCGACATTCGAAATCGATTCGAAATTCCTTTTACGCGGTTAATTATTGAACACACTTGAAGGGCGCCGGGCCCATCATAAGTTGTGGAAATTACGACTTTAGCATATTGTGTTTGTGTGTTTTGTTGTCCAAAGACCAAAGTGTAAACAACCGAAAGACTTACGAGGAATTCTTAAAACTCACAAGAAGAATAACAATCAAAAAATGGGTCGCCTGTTCCAGTACAACCGCTTTGGCGCCACGGATAACATCCAGAAAAATATCAGCAAAAAGGATACCCAGCAAAAGAACAAAATGGTAAGTGTACATTTATATATTTATATTATATTTACTTAAGGTGAAGGGATCCTGTTTTTCGAAATCCTAGATAGACACACAGACAGCCCAAGGGGATAAATATCTTAGAGGATCTATATATGAATATATTTTTAAAGGTTAGGTCAATTAATATTGAATTTAAATATATCCCATTCTATACATCCTATTACATTTTATTGAGAAAACTATAAACTCTCTAAGAAGATTTGATGGATCTTTTACGATCTTTATTTGAAGCCTTTCAACAAAGATTTTCCATAATCCGCTTTAGAGACTTTTAGAAAAACTTAAGAACATTAGTTTTGAAAGAACTTTCTTAAGGAGTTTAATGACTAAGACCTTTTCCCCCGAAAGTAATTGAATTCCCATAAAGTTTTTCCGATCTTCAGCTTATAAAGGATGCCTTTGTAATGCCTTCTACCAGACAATGAATATTTAAATGAAATAAAGGGAAAATAACTACAATAAAAGCCACTCCTGAGGCATCTATTCTGTAGTTTCCCAAAAGCCTGTGTCACACTCCCCACACATCCATCCAAATGAACAACACAACCCACGCACACTTAGCACTATCTACAGTGAACTCCAACCGAATTCAAAACATGAACGACAACAATTAAAATGATTTAGTGTCACAGATAGCGTAGACAAAGCCGAATGCAGCATAATAAACTCGACTGTCGGCGTAAATCAGTGGGACACTAAATCACGCTGAACCAAATAAATATGATTTGCATAAATATAAAACTAAATAGAGTGGAGGGTGGGAATACGAGGAGTACTGTAAGCCGAAATCAAAATTCAAATAAATCAAATTGTAAATGCAGCCAGATTTGCTGGCTCTAGATAAGCCGAGTAAACAAACCAAGACCGAGTCGGGAATTGAAATCGAAACATATGTTTGGACGCCATAAAGATAATGATTGATTTGACCCAAACGCATTTCTATTTACCAACAAAACGCATATGTTATTTGTATTTGATGTGAGATAAGCGCTAACTAGGCTTTATCGTCTAGTCGCGATGCCCGAATACCGATATCACCGCCCCTAAATATGGCTTAATTAAGACAAACTACCTGGTTTACCTTAGCTACCTGTATGCAAAGTCAACTTTCTTTAGCTTGGCTAATCTCCTCTTTATTTGAGATGCTGCAGATATCAAACAACAATATAGCAGCAGCAGCAGCAGCATTTATCAAAATATTTGTTTAGAAAGAATCCCGACGAGAAGTTTGTAATTTCAAACGGAATGACAGTTTTTGCCGTTTTTGCCTTCTCTGCATTTTTCATTCTGTCATTTTTCACTGGAATTGACACCCATCGCCTTCTGTATCTCCTCCGACTGACTCTCTGGATTCTGTTTTCCTTTGTTCTGATCTATGAAAATCTGTCTTCCTCATTGTCCCTTGCCTTTTTTGAATCGCATTTTTCCTGGTGTAAGTGTAGGTGTTGCCTGTTTTGGCTCCCAAAAGGATTGTCTATTGAATCTGGTGGAGTGGGTGTGGTCTCAACGGGAGTTGTTTTTACCCAGAAGACTTGAGTGCAACAAAAGACTGAAAATGTACAAAAATATGCATTCAAAAGTCTGATATTCAAGGGTCTAAGTTTAGGGATAGATGATTGTATCTAAAAGATACTTTTCAGACTAAACTGCAGTTATGCCTTGGATCTCTCTGTATAACTATCAAGTCTCTGCTTTACAAAGGTCTTGTTCTCCTGGCATAAATCGCTCGACACCTTCCCAAAAAAACACCCCACAAATCCGCATCCGTTATCAAAATCTATTACCAGACATCGAGTGTTTACACAGCGAACTGCATGTGCTGACAAACGATTTCAATTAGCCGGTTCGCAGCAGATAAAAGGCATCTCTTCCAGCGCGGGTCAAAGATACAAAACGGAATCGTCACGAACTGCAGTCCAAGGAGAGTGAGTTCTGGCAGCAGAACTAATAAAATTGTCACACAACTGTTGTCTGCAGTGACCATATGCTGTCTGGTCTGTGGGATATAGAGGGAGGGATCTGCAACCATATTGCTAGATTAAAATCGGAGACAATTAAACCCAGCCAAGATAAACATGACTTTGCAGTCGCGGTCTTATTAAAGGGAAACTACACTTATGGGGTATCTATATATTCAGTTGAAGTTTTTATGATTATCCGATTATATCTTGTGGTATCAGCCCAATTTAATTTACTGGGATAATTACACATGTTTCTTTATTAATTAAAAAGAGGGAGAAGATATAGTTTGGAAATACTAAATAATATTAAATAATAAAATTTAAATAGCAATCTTTTATCAAACAGTGTCAAATATTACTCATTATAAACTTAATTTTTGATTAAATAATTTATTCAACGTCAGTCTGTTAGTAGAATATATTAATCAATATTTCACAATCATTAGTTTAACCATTTTGATAGACATTTTGTAAGCAAAACTGATACATCATTTCATTTCCGACAAGATATAATTTACAATAATTAAATTTCATAGAAAAAACAAAACGTAGGCGGTATAGCAATTAATTTCATGTATGAATATTTAAGCCAAGACTATCATAATCACTCATTAATTGCATATATTTAATTGAAAAAAAAAAAAAAAACCCAGAGAAAAGACGGTGCGCTTTCTCTTTTTTGCTTAAATTCAAGATTCAAGATTCAGTCAATAAATTTCCGCATAAACTGCAGACAGGCAATTTCTGATTTTTGAAAAGTCAGAAGGCCTGAAAGCATTTTCCACTCCTCGTGTGGCTTATGGGGCCATGCTCCGATGCCTTCAACGCCCGTCTAAGTGGATTTCCTCGGCTGTTAGAGGCAGAGTCGGAAAAGAGATCCCCTTTTCGATGGGCCTCATAATTCTCGATGAGATGCAGCTAAAATTAAATCAACTGCTGGCGACGATTAGCAGCAATGAGCAGAGGCATTTAAATTCGTAGGCATTTTGATGCACTTTTCCAGCGGAGAGAAGACTCCCTTTTCAAGGGCAGTGATTAATGTCCATGTGGCCGTGTTCGTGTTCTACACATGTATCTACATGATGGGGAGCGACTCTTGAGACTCTTTGATTTTTGGGGGCTGGCTATTCTAAGGATAGAAAATTAATTGCATCGCTTTTAAGTGCATTTAATTAGGAATTCACAGGGCAGACGCCTCTTGTTGACTAACCCAAAGATTTATCGGGGGAAACCGTATACAAACATACAATATATAATCTGCAATCCGCAGCCGGGACAATTGATGAGCATAATTAAATGGCATGGCATGCATGGCCGTAATTTATGCTCCATATTTTCGGGCCCTGCTCCTCCTCGCTGCTTTTGAGTAAACAACAATTTCACTTATTTTCATGCCGTCTGCCGCCTCGACCATCAACTGTCTGCATTGTTATTTTTACGCTCGACTCGATATAAATTTCGCCCTCTTCGCTCGCATGCCACGCCATGAAAATGTAATGCAAATATGCAAAAAAGCTTTCAACGGGATCCCTCTCTCTGTGTGCTTCTTTCTCTTGCCTTTTTTCCTTTAGTTTTTCCGCCCCAACCCCTTTGCTTTTCCGACTACAAATAGTTTTTGGTTTTGGTTTAGTCTCGGTGAGGAGGGAGGAGAGCTGGCCAACATCATCGTTATCACCAGCACGTTGTCCGTGTTTGAGTTTCATATGGCTTCCCGGCGAGGATTTGTGTGCATTAGACTAGACTAGACTCGGGGAAAACTATTTACTAGTCTTCCGGCTCACCCTTGACTCTTCTACTGGCGGAAAAAGTTTTTCAGAGAGTCTCGTCTCTCTCATTCTAATTAAATTGTTCTCCAGGCCTCGGCCTCAAAGTGATAAATTCCTAAAGTTCCGAGACTGGCCCACATATATAAAAAATGAACGAAAGAACCCCTTAAAGAAAACCCCATAAAATACAATTAAAATTTCAACAATTTTCATTTGCATTTAATAAACCCATCAAAATGGTTTTTTAAACACGCATAAAAACGCATATTCCAGAAACAACTCAATTCGTTTCACATTTCAATAACTTTTGATGTGACCCAATTTTTTACACCTATAAAAATGCCACAGAGGGGACCATAAAAAAGCCGAGCCAATGCCACACGCCACATGTGTCTAAACAAAGGATTTTCCAAAGTTAATTGTAATAAAACAGAATTTTACAAAACTCCCCAAAAAAGCTGAAACTATAAACATTTTTCCAGGCATATAAAAGTAAATTAGTGAGAAAATCATTTTACGAGGCCCAAAAAAACGAACTTGTTTAACCGAGAGAGACAGGGGGAAACAGAGCGGTGTGTGTGCGGGACGTGTTTTAAAAAATGTCATAAACTACTCGTAAGTCCATGTATCTCTGACATTTTGAAAGCCCCAACACGTGTGTCCGTGCCGGGGATCACTTTGACTAGCGTTTCTGCTGTCAAATTAGCTGGAACTAAGAGCGATATATGTTTTAAAAATTCAAAAGCCTAATGGCCCAGAGCCAAATGAAATATTACTAATTTTTGTACCGAAAATGTCTGAAGGAATTTTTCCTAAATTTCATTGATATTTCGAGAGGGTGAATGGGATAGACACTCTCTTATTTTGCCAGCACAGCTGTCTCGGCAATTGCCCAATTTGTGTTTTAAGGTTGAGTATTATTATTACTGCGGTTGCAATTTAAAAGCCATGAACCAGTAAACGGTAACGAGTAACCACTGTTCCCAAGGTGGAAACTTGTGGGTTGCATGTGGCGGTGGGGTGGTTTCCTCTCTCTCAAGCAGCTGCTTGAATTTTCCAGCTCTCAAAATTCAGGCATATGTCTGCTTCAGTACAAGGACCGGACCTCAAGTGGCGCACAAAGAAAGGAAAATATATTTCAATAAATTCATCAACTCACTCTCCGGGCACTTCAACTAATTTCTATACCCTCCCGCGCTCTAAATGCACAATAAATGAAAATTTAACAACTGTTTTTATAAGACCAAAGGCCACAGAAAAGACCTCTTTCCCCGAAGGGTCTACACCTTCTCGCCACTCTTGTGTCCGTCTGTCAGCTGTCGAAGGTGCTCGCTGTCGATTCGGTTACCTGAGTTTTTATTGTAACACATTTTGATTACGAAAATATGCTAACACCTCGCAGGCCAAACAAAGAGCTAGCTCTGGGGTGCTGTTTCATCATCAATTAGAGCTCAACCTTTCCGCAGGGCAGGATCAGAATATATCAGAATGTAAAGGTAACAAAATGGAGGAGGCCCATGATTATTGCATTAGCAGTCACGCCATCAAAAGAACAGGGCCAAGAGCAACAGACACCTTTTGGGTCACTACCGTATGTTGGATTTGACTGGATTTGGGATTTTCTTTTGGGGCTCCATTATCATTGAAATTACTGTTGATTCCTCTCTTTTTTTTCTTCTACGTTGTGCATAAATTAAAACCCATGTAGCCATTAAACGCTTGTTGGCCCATTGTGTTTGATTTAAGCCGATAAAAGGTACACTTTGAGGCATTTTCACGCCGCCTTTTCCCCCCAGATTTATGCGTTGTGCGTGGCCACCAGATCAAAGAAAAACTCTTTCGACCATGGCTCGTTGGCTTTGAATTAATGGTCAGTGGCCAAGATGTAGCAACAGTCGGTCGAAAATCTATATAAACAAGATTTTCAATTGTTAATGCAAATCAGTGGGAAAGGGGTTTGTGTGCTGCAACGGAAGTTCTGCGTCTGCACTTCCTTTGTTTTCCTTCCCCGCCAAACTCTAATTTATGGGATGTGTTAAGTTATGACGCCCCCTTGCCACTCCCCATCGAATTCAATTTGGTAATCGCTCTTGAAGAGAGAGAGCTCTACCTGGTTCCTTTGTCCATTTTCCATTGAATGCTCATTATTTCTCTGTGGAGTGTTTGTGCGTGCCGTAGGATCCTGTGAGTTTTATCCTTTCCAATAACAAACAAAGGGGTTGTATTTGCAAAACCGAAATGGGAATTGCAGGGAATTCGCTGCACTCAAAAAAACAGCAGGATGCACCTCATCATTCCACATGTTAAAACAGGAAAGAATATAAATTTGAGCGAAAAGGATTACCCAAATATTAAAAACATATTTTAAAGCGTAGATCCACTTCAAGTATCCTCAAAATTAGGACCTGTTAAAATATATTTAAGGTGACAGAAATAGGTGTTGAAAAAAAGAAGGAAAACATAACCCTCTAGCAACCCTCGACAGGAGCTGCATATGAATATTTTAAGGGCGAAATGAAAGGCAAATAAGAGCAGGGAAAACAACGCGATGGCAAATTGTACAACAATGAACAAGTAGAGCAAGCGCATTACAAGGATATCACAGCAGCAGTGACCCAAAAGCATTAGCAGTAGAAGGAGGAGCAGGAGAAGTCGGGTCTGGAATGGGATTGGCCGAACAAAGGGAAAAGCAGAACAAAGCCAGGATAATGGGCTGCCTGTGTGTGTGTGTGTGTTATCTGTGTGGCTGTAGTCCTTCGAGTGAAATGGGATTCCCCCAAGTCTGAGATAAGATTTATAGGGACACTTTCTACAAATTTCGTAACCGAAACTAACAAAAAAACTCGCTCTTGTTTGAATAGCTACGCAATGCCATCAAATGTCCAGGATACTCGGACATCTATGGTCAGTACAATGAGGACTTGTCCTTCGAGAAGTGTCAACAATGGAGCCACAAGCTGCAGTTCCCAGCCACTGCCACCGAAATGGACAAACCTCTGGAACCGATCCAGAGTCGCACGCACAAGGTCTATGACAGCATGAAGAACTTTCTGCAGCGCAAACTGTTCGCTCAGCCCTCGCACAAGGAGAGGGAGATCCTGAGCGAGGAGGCCACCAGCGATTATGATGAGGTGTGTATTTAACAAAATATATCTTTAAGCATACATTCCTCTCATAAAGGGTTCAGGCAAATTAATATTATGATGAGCTGCAACATTTTTGGTTAAATATTGTGGTTTTACCCCAAATGTCCACTCATAATTGCTTAGACCGTGACTTTGAGAACTCCTTTTGAATATTATTTTAATGAGTTTTTTCTCCTTTCTGTTTTAGCAGGACCTTCTCGACTCCTCGTACCAAGCCGACGCGGAGGAAGAAGAGGAGGAGGAACGCGATGCGGATTGCAGCTGCAGCTCCACTTCCGGCAGCTCAGCCACGCCCAAGAGATCTCCCCAAAAGTCCCTGCTTTCACTCAACTGCTGGCAGAGCAGTCACCCAAGCAGTGACTCCAATCCAGAGGAGGAGGAGGATGAGGATGACGAGGAGGACTCCGATGCAGGAATCTCCGACTGCTGTCAGCTGCTAGCTGAGAACTCCTCGAGTTCCAATAGCAAACGACACAGGACACCACTGCCTCGATATAGCACCGCCAATCAAAACTCTGATGAGGACGAAGACGATGAAGAGCCGGAGCTGCTGCAGTGTCCTTGGTATCAGCCGAGGATTACCTCCAAGGCGGCAGTGGAGCACCTACAAAAGGCCACGCCGGGCAGCTTCCTTCTGCGACGCAGTAATCCCCGGCACTTTGAGCTTCTCCTGCGACTGGAGAGGAGTAACAAGGTCAAGACCTACCTGGTGCAGTCCACCCGGAATCAGATGTACCGCCTTAAAGGAGCCAAGAAGCAATTCACCAGCCTAAAGGCTCTCATCACCCATCATTCCGTGATGGCGGAACAGCTGCCGCTGACCCTGGACATGCCGCGGGAGCGTCATGTGGTGAAACCGTCATCGGTGCGCTATGCCGATGACTTTGAGCCACTGGAGTCCCTGCAGCTGCTGGGCATCCTCAGGAGCCTGCAGGCCAGGAGCATCGAGATATAGGAGTTAGTCAATAAGCGGGGTCTACTGGGGCGGGCTAAGTAATATCGAACTGCAAAGGGAACGATAGGTGAAAGTAATTAGGGATTTGTTTTTCTATGGCTAAGTACGTTGTGATATGGCCGAGCAACCCCTCGGTTCTAGTTGTTAGTTATTATCATAAGGCCACTACCCACTAAGCGACATATTGTGTAGAGGTATAAGTTTTCTATTACGAATAAAATCGAACAATGGCACTTTGCAAAAACACAACCCTCGAGTTTATTGTGTCCACGCCCCGTCAATCGATGCACTTCCTGCTTGCCCCGTCTCTCTGTGAAATCCCAGGCATCCTGGTGGAGGGTTGTCCTGGCTTCACTTACATGTGATTAGCGATTCGAGTGGCTCTCATTAATTTTTCAAGTGCGGCTCGTGGAGCACTCGACGCAATGCAACCGGCAACATGTTGCTAGCAACACTTTTGGTTGCATAAATAATTACAGTGCTTGCATTTAGTTAGTTTACAACAATTGGGACGGCGGGGAATGCCTTTCAGCATGGTTAAGTGATGACATTACAGCCAATTGAATAAGTTATATGGTGCTCCACAGAGAGATTAGCTAATTGGTATCGAGATAAATACATTTTATGGGGAAGTGTGTGATAAATATTTAATTTGTGTGTCCAAAAAGAGACTATGCATTTCACTCGGGATCGGAGAAGGTCTTTAACCCTGCAGAGTGTTATATTTTAGTCAAAGTATCGAAATGAAGTGAAACAGTCATTTCCGACCCTATAAACCTGATATATTCTTGATCAGCATCGAAAGCCGAATCGATCTAGGTATGTCTCGCAGACAAAAAAATTTCAAACTTTTTTCAACATTTTTTTGACAAAATTTTCCATCATTAAAATTGGCAAAAATTTGAATTTTTATAAGATTTTAACTGAGTATGTAGATTTGTTACCCTGGTAAAAACTAGTTATGAGTTTTTTAAACTTTAATTTATTTTAAAAATATCAAATTAAATTATAGGTAAATATCAATGAAAAATTGCAAATTCGTGTGCGTTCCTGGCAGCATAAAATCAACAAATCTTTGAGGATTGCAGAAAGTTATATATATTCTGAATCGCCATTTAAATCTCAGTTAATTAGTAGCAAAAACATGAAAACAAAAATTTTGACCATTTTAGCCAGTTTTTGCAAAATTTTAAAAGGGGTTACATCATTAAAAATGTCAAAAATCGCAAAAATTTTACATTTTAAACTGATTATGCAGATTTGTTAAACTGATAAGAACTGCATCGCTTTCCGAATTGAAATTAATGCTTTTTTAACTTAGTTATGGGGTTTTGTATATTTTAATTATAATAATAATATTATTAATTGATTACAATTACATGGGCACATGTATTATACATTCCAAAAGTATATACTCTTTACATGAGGTTAAATCCTGATTACTTGTAAGGAACACTCAAAAGAATGCTTTTATTTATCACAACCACCTCGAAGCATAATAAACCCCAAAAGCAGACATCAATTTAACGTCCAACAAAGGCCAGGAAAAATAGAGATATATAAAAACGCAACTTAATTAATCCAGTTTTAATAAAAACATATCCCAGTAGCTGTCCGCCAATATTCCGAAATGTCAACAAGACCGCTAAATCATTTCCGGGTTAACCGCTCTGCAAAAAGCAAACCAGTTTTTCACCGACTGCAAATGATATTCGATATTGTTGGCTCAAGCCAAATAAAAGGCTATAATTCAGCGAGGCAAACACAATTGGCAGGCAAGTGAATAAAATATATTTCAATATAAACTACAAATATTCGCACTGACAGCACTGGGACAGATGGACAGGTGGACGGACAAGACGGACGGTCATAACCCCAGGGGCGTAAAACAAAAGGCCATTAACAATAACGAGTCCGGGGTAAAAACATTTGCAAACAAATTATAAATAAATGGAAATGCTGACAGCATTAATAACGTTACATCATTAATAAGCGAATCGAAATGAATACAATAACTGAAAAATGGAAAATGTTATAATTATGACAATAAATTAAGCGACCCTGGGGTTTTGCTTTACTCTTAGCTTATTTATTTATGTATTTATTTATTTAACCGGCTGTCGGAGCCGATTTTCTGATTTAAATCGAAGTCACCCAATCCATTAATTGGCTGTCAATGGGAGAGACCGAGAAATGGGGGAATATTTCAATGAAATTGTCTTTGAAATTATCATAGAAATGCCACTGACAACTGCATTTCCGATACTCTCAGATATCTCGGATATTATAACATTATTACATTCAGTTGGTGTTCAGCTAGAGTTCCAGAACCTCTCCTCCGTTTCTGTAATTTCAACTTGCAAATAGTGAAATTCCCATTTAAAGTCTAAAAGGGAAACAGGAGCTCTGTGTCCAGGCATATGTGGAAAATAAACATTCAGCATTCTCGCTAATGAAGTGCTTTCATCTGCAATGTATGCTACGTTTTTCATTTATTTTTTCCCCACCTTTCACTTGAACTGTTTGCATAATTTTTACACCAGTTTGTTTAGCTTTTCAATGCTGACAGTTGAAAAGGAGAAAATATAGAGGACTGGGAGTATGTGTCGTCCTGCAAATTTCATTTTCATTTGCGTGTATGCCTCACTAATTACGAAATGGTTGCAATAACTCCAGAGTAAGCATCCGAAAATGGTGCCCAGGGAAAAAGTTAAAGCAAACAATGCATTGGGTCCATGCGGTAGGTAAATTAATTAATTGGAAATTAGTCTGGGTTTAAACATCTAACAAAACAATTTCCGAATTTAAGAAATGTAAATAGGAAAGTTAGTTTACAATTAGAGCGGTCATTTGGGTGAAATTTTCTTTTAAAGCTGTGATTTTTGTACACCTTAATGTATCTTTAATAAGAAAAACTTTTTTATTGATGTAAATTATTACTTTTAAAGTCTCGTCTGCAGTCTTAAATTTGGTTCTACGTGTGTGAGTAAACAAATTATATTTTGTTTATTCTGGCAGTTTGAATCGTGACTCCTTTGATCCCTGCAATTTGATTACATTGCCTTTGGATCGACGTCATTAACAAACCATTCATTTGGCCCTATTCACAGCCTCACAGCCACCTTTTCCCACCTTATTTAACCCGATGCCAGCACCGCAGCTAATTACAAAAACAGCTCTTCTATTTGAATACCCCAACCCGAATCCGAATCCAAATCCGAATTCGAATCGGAATCGGAATCCTGGGGGAAAATCAATAATCGAGGACGAGTGCATCCATGAATGGTCAATCAGAGAGAAAGAGAGAGAGAGAGATTCAGGAGCTGCGATTCAAAGGAGCAACAGGAAAGCAGGACAGGACCCCTAGCGATGAATGGCATTTGCAATGATGTTGCCTGGATTATCTTCTGTTTATATGGGATTTATTCAGGGAAAAAGGGAAAATGTACGGGTTGCTGGGGGGAGGAGGAGCATGTGTTGCCATGACGGCCGCCGGTGCCTTTGTGCGCCTTTTGTTGCTCCGGATGCCGGCAGTCTGGCATTGCATAAATGTTTTGCCTTTTAATTAGCACGCATTTCCGATTCGACATTCTGCATTGGCCTGCGATTGCCTCTTAATGCGCTTAAAGCAGATCCCACAGATCCCCGTATTCTCGTCTCAATATTCCCATTCATTGGGTTGTCTCGATAATGATGGAAAATAGTGGCCAGCTGAGGAGAAAATTCAATCAGGCACAGCTTCGAACTTCCAGTCGGTGGTAATGCAATCAGAACAAGGCAAGACGGAGAGCTAGGATATAGAAGAATGCACTGGGAAATGTTCTAGCAAATGCAAAGAATTTAATTTAAATTATGCTTATGAAAATAATCTCTAATTTCAATGGAGAAAACTTACTAGAGTTTATTACAAATCGAAGGGTTGATCAATATTTTGGTGATAAAAAAAGAACAAAAGATATATTACCAAATAGTTTATATAGTTTTTTATTAGTTGATATAGTGAATTACATATTTTTTTGAGTGCCTCTGCTTGGACCTCAAAGCTTCTAGCAGTATGGCGGAAATTATGTGGCACTCGAGTGTCCAACGAGCCGTGACCCGAGTATGATGTAAGTCCCAGAAAGAAGTGTAAAAAATTGTGTCACCAGGGGCACGCACAAGGAAAAGGATAACGCAGCGTCTGTGGCTGACTGACTGCCCGACTTAGCCTTATCCTTATCCATATCCCTGTGCCGTCTCGTCCAGCTACGTGATCCTGCGACGACAGCAAAGCCAGAAAGTATGCAACAAGCAGCGCAAAGTGCACTCAATTGTTTAGCTGCCCCAGGGTTATAAAGGGTATGCTACGCAGGGTTTTCCCTAGTTCTCTTTCCTTTTCTTTTTCTTTTTAGAGTTTTAGAGCGGGAGGTTGTGGGTGGCTTTGTGGCACACAATCTGTATAAAACAGAAAATCAGTTGGCACTCGCCCAAGTGCATATTAAGCGCAGCAAATACGAGGGGTTGAGTAAAAGTTTTTAACGAGGCAAGAAAATCACCTTTTAGTGGAACCCCCTCATCTTTAAGAAATTCCTTAAATGATTTCTATTTATTTGCACACTTATTGTACAGGTATTGTGTAAATATTGACATGTAAACAATTGCTGCACCTGTCACAATAATTACCCCTACTTTGGGCATTTTGTGAAAACAAACAGAAGCAATTAAAGAGATAATTGACCTAAATTGTAAAAGGTTTTTTTGTGGAAAGCATTTTAGTATTTAAATGAATTTTAAATTGTAATTAAATTGCCTTTGATGGGGTGCCTAACTTTCAGCAGCATTTTAATCAATAGGATACGGAAGTTGACTATATTTTATAATTAAATGATACACTCTGTATACTAAAGGTTAGGCTTAACTTAAACTTTTCTTATAATTGCGTTATAAATTCCTACTTCCTTCCTAAATAAATCCTCTTTCAAAAGTGAATACTTACAATAGGCAACAATAAAGTTCTTGGAATTAATTTTCCCATTTAAATCTTTTGTTCAAGTTCTACTTGACATACTCCCTCGTATATAATAATCCTCTTATAATGTGATTTTCATCCAGAGTCTTGAGTAGAGCTTCCTGAATTTAAATTCATTTTCTAATTGCTGGGCAAATATTGCCTCGCCACAATCCTTCTCAACTTGAGCCGTACACTAATGACTTGAATTTTGTATGGTTTCTATGCAAATCTAAAGAGTTTTCTCCGAATTAATTAATTA